CTTCTCCAAAGGTTTTTTTTCTCCTTTTGTTAAGCCTTCTTCTAGGCAGGATCTGAAATCACCCCACGGAGACCGGTGTGCCATGGGAATGTCATGAGGGGATGAGAGAATGCTGCAGTGGGCAGGGGATACACAGGCTGGGATGGGTCAACCCACCCATTTCCAGAGGGTGCTGTGGCGGGGGGGGGCCAGGGATGCCTAATTGCTGCTAAGGCTAATTGCTGCTAATCAGCTGGTGTGGATAGACACCTCCAGCAGCCCCCTGCGCTGGGGCGAGCAGAAACACTTAGGGGAACCTTTCAGTGAACTAAACACTAATAATAAAGATGTGAAGGAGGGCATGTTTTTTCCTCCTCCTCATCCTCTCTGGGCTGCTCCCGCACATCCCGGTTGCTCAGCGCCCGGCCCGGCTCTGCAGAGAGAGGTGTGTGATGGTGTCTCTCCGCACCGGCACAGCCTGTGCTCCCCCGTGACGCAGCAGTATTTACACCCTGTCCTCCTCTGGTTTTAAACCTGAGATCACTTTGTATTTTAAACCTTTCGGGACATTCCTGTCCTGGAAATAAATGGCCTTTCGCTCATCTCAGCAACAACCTTTGCTTGGGTGAGCTGGATTTCTCCTCTGCTGCCAGAGCCCTCCAAAGTACAGTCAGAGTTAAGCCAACAGATCCCATCCAACCTTCTCCACCTTTCTGCAACACTGGGCACTGTTGCTGCCTTCGTTTTAACCTTTGCTGCCGTCTTGCTGAGGGATAAGCATACCTAATGCAGATTAAATGAAATTCCAGCACACACAAACTAGCGGGGTGAATATAAACCCATGGCCAAAGAGCGAGGGTTATGTCATCGCCGAGGAATCCAAAAGTCGCCAAAATGAAAATACCACAAAGAAAGCAAACAGAGACGTTTGGGATGGGGGGAGAGGAGCGAGGGAAGAGGACACGCCGGGAGAAGATACAGGAACAAAGAGAAAAGCCCGTGATAAGCTGAGATGGGTTTGCCTCATGCCACTGCCGTAAGGTCCTTACATTTATGTGAATAAGGTTTTGCAGAACAGGCTAAAAAATATACAGTCATTAATTTTATGAGTTTCGCTCCCCATTCTCATTCTTAGTTTATGGCTGTCACCCATTTGCTGATAGCACATGGGAAAAATGTTTTGAGGGAGCCTATGTCCATATGCAGGCTGGTGGGCAGGGGAAGCCACTGCCGGTGTCC